GTCATCAGGATTTATTCTTATTTAGTGATATCCCATCCTCAAATCCATTTTAGAAAAAATATCAGCTCCCACTAATTGAACAAGCAATTTATGAGTATTAGGGATAGGATATTTATCTTTGATGGTGTCCTTGTTTAATGCACGATAATCTACACACATCCTCTAGCTACCATCGGCGTTCCTTACTAGCAAAACAAGTGAGGAATATGGGCTTTAGCTATTCTTATACTTCAATTCCTTATCAATTCAGCTACCAACTGGTCTCAACACAAACACCTTTTGAAACTGTCCAGAATTTTTTACACTTCTAAGGGCAATTTAAAGCTATAATCTCCTCTGTTGCCATCTATAATTTGTAGCCAAATTCCTTTGCCAACCTACTTTTTAAGCTCTTCAAGATTATCTTTCTTTGCGACACAGCTAGCTGGTCTTTGAATACCTTGTAACTCAACAACTTGGTCCTTGTACTAAAATCTCATAGTAAGGTCAGCAAAATTCCACAAATTTGATCCCAATCTCCTTAGCCAGTCAACATCCAAAACTAAGTCACAACCTCCGAGTGTCAGCACATACAAGTAAGCCATATAAATACAATCTTGTAACTTTAACGAAACTGCCTTACAATAACTAAGACAAGGAAGAATGGCACCACTAGTCACTTGTACTGTTAAAAGGCTCGCTTCCCTTGGCAAATTTGCCTTCCTTGCTACATTTGGATCTATAAAACTATGCGTGCTCCCTATATCAATTAAAATCATGACTTTTTGATGATTAATTTCAGCAAATAACCTCCTAGTCTTAGGAGCTGAAGATCCAGCTATAGCATGTAGGGATATCCCTAACAACTTCCCAACTTTCTTTTGATTAGATCCTATTACAGCCAAGGTTCCTTCTTTGTTCTTTGTTTCTTCATTTTCCTCTTCCTGTCCTTCAATTCCATCCAAAAGGTAAATTCTTGGTTTGTTACATTTATACCCTGGACGGTATTTTTCATCACAAAACCAAGATAATCCTATTTCTTTTCTTTCTTGCATTTGAATGGGAATGGCTCTTTTTAGGGAAAAATTGGATTTTCTGGGGTTATTGAATGGTTGAGGTCTCAAGTTGGGCTTGTTTGGTGGTGCTGGTAGTCTGAGAATGTGGGCTAGTGCAAGTAATTTGGGTTGATAATTTGAGTTGGTGTTTGGGTTGGTTGGGGATTTATTTGTGTTACTTTTTACATGCCTCAACACTTCCTCCTCTTGTAACCTAGCCAATCCAAAAGCAGCTGAGAGAGTGGAAGGCTTAAACATGGTCACAATTATCCTTAAATCATCTCTTAGTCCACTAAAAAAGGTACTAATTCTAAATTCCCTAGATATGCTACTTATTTTATTAGATAGCATTTCAAATTGACTTTGATAAGCTTCAACACTATCATCATGCTTACGTTTGGTAAATTTCCCCACAGGATCCTCATAAGCTGAGGGTCCAAACCTCACTTCTAGAGCTGACACGAAATCATCCCAAGATTGAACTGAGCTAGATTCTATTAGCCAACTATACCATGAGAGGGCCTTACCTTCCATGTAGAAAAAGGCTATCTGTAACTTGGTCATTAGGAGTTTTATTGTATTAAAAAAAATTGTGCTTTTTGGACCCACTCATCTAGATTACTACAATCAAATTTAGGAAAATCTAATCTCGGTGATCTCGCTTTAATTTTCCCATTTCCCTTAAATAAAGGATTGTTACTGACCGTGGAGTTTGAGGATCCTTCATTGTAGTTTTAATTTGCTGCCAAGTGTTCATAATTGGAAGCCAAATTACTAATTTGTACAAGAATAGTTGTTAACATTCCCTCCTTTCCTAGTCTTCATTTAGGTTTGTATTTTCCTCTTTGAGTGCTCCTACTACTTCGAACAGTTGAGCATAGCGAGTACCATCAGCCATGGCGCAGGAACCATGCTCTGATACCAATGTTATAATTGGAAATCTGTGTAATAAGAATTTGATGAAACCGTATGGTAATTTGAGGTTACTAGACCTCCACTATTACTTTGTAATTGGATAACACTTCGACACCTTGAGAAAATAACAAGCATAAATAGGCCAAGAACTACAGACCACAAGACATGGGCATGGCCCCATGAACTTGGAAACTAAATAACTGACCCAACAGACTCAACAATACTTAATTAAAATAGCTACCCACAATGAGGGCGCTCGACCGAATACAGATGACCCCATCAACTTACAAAACTGGATACAATAAATTAAAATGCACAGTCATTGCCACAAAAGCCTCCCCATCTTCCCTATCGCAGTAAAGTTCAAAATTGCCACCTACCTATTACTAAGAACATGGTAAGAAACAGAATCGGGGCTTTAAGAAAGAGGAGAGGAAGTGGAAGACATGAGATTGGATGACATGAGGAATGAAACGAGAGAGAGAGAGAGAGAGAGGGGGGGGGGGGGGGGGGGGCGAGAGGCGGAAGGGCGCGAGAAAATTCTACCTATTTATTTATCTTCTCTATAACAACAAATTAGCAACAGAAATTTTACCAATGAAATAGTAAATTTGTTTGTAATGTCATTTTATTATTGAACAATAATTTTAAAATAATTTGTTTATAATGGGTTAGCATTCCGTTACTAATAGCAATGGAAATCATCCGTTACTAAAATTTCATTTGTGTAGCCTCCATTTCTAGTAGTGGCAGTCAATGATCCGTTTATCATAGTTAATCATATGGTATTTTTTTTTTTTTTTAATTTTCACTCGTTCTTTCAATCTTATGTACACTTTGTTTTAGTTTGGGATCTTGCGCCCTAGATCTGTTGCATGAGTGGTTTGCTTAACAATTCATCATAATATTGCTTTCACTCAACGTGAAACCCAACTCTTACTCTTCAATTATTTTAATGACTACTCTGATTGTAATTAGTTGTCACTTTGCCTACATGATTTAGATATAATTCTTATATACTTAATCGAGCTTCTTGTGATCTCATTGAGAGTTTATTTGAGTTGGATCTACCATGTTAATTATCTGTCTAGTAATTATGTAATGAGTTTGTAGTGATGTTATATTTAGTGCAATTGCATGCGCGCGAGTACACATATATAAATATATATATATATACATGAAAGTGTCCACAGTCAATGGAAGCACCATAAGCTAAAAGTCAAGGATGATAAGACCCTTTTGTTCGTGAGAAGACTATAACTAGGCATTAGGTACTCTTCTGTAGCTTTATATAACCTTTTTGTTGATTGCCTCGTGTGTGAATATGGATCATGGGCTAGTTATTGAATCCTTGTTTCCAAATTGAATTGAATTGTATTCAATAGAATGTAACATGTCAAGGCACCGATGTGTAATGTATAGAAGGTGGTACGACGATCCCTTTGCTTAAGCTTAAAAAAGAATTTCAATGAATTATCAATTGATATCTGAATTGGGAACATCTCTAAATCAACAACGTACTTAATTTTCAGAAACAAAATTCTCTTATCAAGCTTCTGTTCACTCATTATCATGTCAACAAGATTAACATACTTGCATCCAAAGGAACAAGAAGCCCAAATGTAGCTGTCTCATTTACTACAAATACGTTTACATCATCCATACCTAGAAAAAAGAAAAAAAACAAAAGAAAAAAAAAAGATTTATATGGGCAATACATTTATTCAATGATTCAATATTTCTTAAGGTGCACGTTACCGAAATCAAGATCTTTATATATTAAGTTGCATGAAATTTGAAATGCGCTTATCATATGTCATAGACATAGACACATTGCAAAATCTATGTTCTAGTTTTTTTTTGAATTTAGGTAACACAATCATACTCAACGTTAGAGAGTGGAAAGATATAGGTCCTAATCTTTTTTGTCTTTTCTTTCCCCTTTACAAATAAAAGCGAAGGAATGTCTGATTAGTTCTAATCAATTAAATAATTCGATTATATTTTTTTTCTTATATTTGACATTACAAGCTTGCACTACGAAATCGAATTTCATTCGAATAGCAGATGCATATATGCTACTGCATATTTGCAATCAAATCAAGACCAAATTGGAGTGAATAGTTTCAATATATCCTTCAGCAATATTTTTAGATGAGAAATATGAATATAAAAGAAAGCAAATAAAGTATGACCTTCTTCAGAGGTGAAATTAGGTAAGTTTTTGCTCATTTCTGCTTTTTGAATTTTGTATTGATTTTGGAGAGATATTAAAATGAAGAGCTTAATTTTAGGGTGATTTAAAAATTGTCAGTTACAAAACATAGTTTTGGATCCAATTTTGGTATATAGTATTTTTTTAAAAATTATTTATCAAACCTCACAGTATTTTATGGATTATTAAAGTAAAATAGTATAATTTGAAATTTTATTTCGTAATGATATAAATACAAAATTTTCCGTTTATCTTTCTCCCCAAACACCGCTACAAATCACCGAAAATTGGTGCGAAAAGAAGTAAATCTTTGTTTGGGCCTTTCTAATTGTTTGAGTTTTTCGGCTAACTTGTTCAACGGGCTTAAATTTCGTTGTCTAGGATCTATTGGGGCTGTAATGTTCGATTAAGCCCGAAAAGGCCCATAATAAAATATTCCTTCTTTATATTTCTGTTCTACTTCTAGGGTTCGTTGAGAGACTCACACTTGCATAGAGGAGCTGCCACCGATCCACTTCCAATGGGTATGCACACCTCTCACTCTTACACGCTCAATGCTCTATGGCTTTGAATTTTGAAGTCATGAGACTAATGTGATAATGTTTGAAATTTATGTATGTTTTCAATAATGACTGCATAATTGCAGGGGCATACACATATGTGTCGGAGCTATGGAAGAAGAAGCAATCAGATGTGATGAGGTTCTTGCTGAGGGTCCGCTGTTGGGAGTACCGCCAGCTCCCCGCCGTCGTCCGGGTCGTCCGCCCCACCCGACCTGACAAAGCCCGCCGCCTCGGCTACAAGGCCAAGCAGGTTCCCCTTCTCTTCCCACGTTTTCCTCATAATAGTACAACTGCTGCATTATAATATCATCGAGATTTTCTTTGTTTTATTCTTTATATCTTTCTTTCCGTTATGAGCATTCTTTCCTTTGGAGATGTCTCATCATCAATGATTGCGTTGAATAGTTCGTTTAGACAAGGCTTTCTCCGTTCTACTTGATTTATTTGTTATTTGAAAAGATGAATGTAGAGGGTTTTTGTTGAATTGTAAATATAAGGTTGTGATGGAAAATTTGTTAATATTTCATAGTGTTCTGCAAATTATTTGGAATTTTCAAACGTTATTAGATGTGGTTTTGTAATATTGTCTGCAAGATGATAAATTGTATGTGAAGCATAATTCTCTTTTGAGTACTGGCAATGATTTCTACAATAAGTTTTCTTGGAATGCTAACTTCGAAATCAAAATGATTGAGTGCACAATGTATTTTTTGACTCTATTTGTGTAGGTTTCCGTAAGAACCCTATTGTTTAAATCTGATTTTCACATTTGGTACATTATCGTGATCGATAATACCATATAATGAAATTGTTTTAAATGTTTATTCTTTTTGCTATCTTTATTTACCGATAGATTTAGGCTGCCATCTATATCGTATGATTGTATTTCATTGGCAAGGTTCTTAATGGTGGTATAATACGACAATTGTTTTACAGGGTTTTGTCATCTATCGGGTTCGTGTGAGGCGAGGTGGTCGCAAGAGACCTGTCCCTAAAGGTATCGTGTATGGTAAGCCCACCAACCAGGGTGTTACCCAACTCAAATTTCAGCGCAGCAAAAGGTCAGTTGCAGAAGAACGTGCTGGTAGAAAGCTGGGTGGTCTTAAGGTTCTGAACTCATACTGGATCAATGAGGTAAATGATCAAGTTGAGTTAATTGCTTGTTTTGCTCTTTCGTTTGAAATCTGGAATGAGACTTGTTATGATTTATATGCTTTTGTTTGTTGTAGGATTCAACTTACAAGTACTTTGAGGTAATCTTGGTTGATCCTGCACATCAAGCCATCCGTAATGATCCAAGAATCAACTGGATTTGCAACCCTGTGCACAAGCACAGAGAGCTCCGTGGCCTCACTTCAGCAGGAAAGAAATACAGAGGCCTACGTGGAAAGGGACACTTGAACCACAAGGCACGTCCCTCACGCAGGGCCACCTGGAAGAGGAACAACACACTTTCGCTTCGCCGATATCGCTGAGTTTTACTTGCTGTTGGTCACTGTTTATGTTGTTTGTTTGGACTTGTTTGGATATTCGAAGTTAGAACAATAGTTTGAATTTTGGTTTGTGGGATGAGTATGACGACTGACCCTTTAATCTTCAGTGTTCTTTACCATATTTGCTGCATATGTTTGGATAATGTTGTGACCCTGGCAAGTTAGCTTCGTGTTTATGCACCCTATATTTGCGTTTTTGACTTGTCTTTTCTGACCAAATTGAATCCACTTCAATCCTGCCAATATTTTCTTAGATAATAGTCCAGGAGTTGATACTCTCTTGGCTAAACATGCATGAAAAGAGGTGAATATACATACAAACATATATATGCATATGCATTAAATGTATATTGTGAGTAGCGTGTTCTTGAGCTAGTATATTGTGAATATTCATAAGATATAGATATTTTGTGCGTTCTTGATCTTGAGAAAAACTTTGTTGGGACAGTTGCACTGTCGTCGAATGGGGAGCCACCACCTCTCGAATGTGGTGGCTCCTTGTTCGATAGTCACACCACATAGGACTATGCAACCGTTCTACCGAAGTTTTTCTCCTTGATCTTTGAGCCAGTGGCTGAAAACCTGCATGGATCAATCAGTTTCCAATGACAAACGTAGAAAATGTGGTGGCTCGTCGTTCGACCTATGGAGTTGATACTCTCTTGGCTAAACATGCATGAAAAGAGGTGAATATACATACAAACATATATATGCATATGCATTAAATGTATATTGTGAGTAGCGTGTTCTTGAGCTAGTATATTGTGAATATTCATAAGATATAGATATTTTGTGCGTTCTTGATCTTGAGAAAAACTTTGTTGGGACAGTTGCACTGTCGTCGAATGGGGAGCCACCACCTCCTCTCGAATGTGGTGGCTCCTTGTTCGACAGTCACCACCACATAGGACTATGCAACCGTTCTACCGAAGTTTTTCTCCTTGATCTTTGAGCCGGTGGCTGAAAACCTGCATGGATCAATCAGTTTCCAATGACAAACGTAGAAAATGTGGTGGCTCGTCGTTCGACCTACTAGAGGAGATGAATAAAAGCTCTCTTATCTGAAGTGACGAATGAGATTGAATATTAATATGTACATACCCTTGGACTTGGACCTGGACCTGACCTGGAACAACTACTTGAGCTATTAACATGTACTGTTGGTGATAGATGCCTATGCTTTTTTGGAGAGCAATAAGAATGTCTATGAAATGTACCGTAAAACCTTGATTACCAGTGTTGGCTACAGGGAGCTTGTCTTGCCATAGATGGAACTAGCTGGTCGAAGGATTTACCTATCACTGCAGGATCAGGGGTTCTTTTTCAAGATATTGTTAGATTAGATATTTAACTTAATTACTATAACCACTGTAACGAGAATCTGAATTGGTAGCTAACCTCTACTGCCCTCCATTAATGAAACTTTCTTTGAGATTATGCAATTCTTGCCGGATTGAATTTTCATCTTGGTCGGAATATTTCAAGCACGTGAACTGTTGAGCAACATGGTAAGTGTTCTACTTGAGCTATTAACATGTACTGTTGGTGATAGATGCCTATGCTTTTTTGGAGAGCAATAAGAATGTCTATGAAATGTACCGTAAAACCTTGATTACCAGTGTTGGCTACAGGGAGCTTGTCTTGCCATAGATGGAACTAGCTGGTCGAAGGATTTAACTATCACTGCAGGATCAGGGGTTCTTTTTCAAGATATTGTTAGATTAGATATTTAACTTAATTACTATAACCACTGTAACGAGAATCTGAATTTGTAGCTAACCTCTACTGCCCTCCATTAATGAAACTTTCTTTGAGATTATGCAATTCTTGCCGGATTGAATTTTCATCTTGGTCGGAATATTTCAAGCACGTGAACTGTTGAGCAACATGGTAAGTGTCACAGGGCTGACAAGTGTTCTCTACGATGGCACTGAGTTTTCCTTTCGTCAACTAGTCAACACACGTTTTGTACAAGCGTAGAAATGGAAACTCACGAAAATTGACTAGGTATGCAAAAGATTGAAATTATTAAAGGCAACACGGAAATATGGGAACCCTCCCAAATTCATTTCTCTCTAAAACAGAGAAACAGGATTATAAGAACAGGAAAGGGCCAACACACACTTGTTGCCTCATTCAACATTTTGCAAATCTGCCTTCCTCTCTAATAAATCAAGTACTCCACACTTTAATTTAGAGAGAAACATCCATTCCAGGATTGCAGTTGATAGCCCCTAACTACTGGGTCAGTTTTTCACATTTTCAGCCCACTTGGCTGAAAACTGTCCTCCTACTTTAATTTAGAGAGAAACATCCATTCCAGGATTGCAGTTGATAGCCCCTAACTACTGGGTCAGTTTTTCACATTTTCAGCCCACTTGGCTGAAAACTGTCCTCCTACTCAAACACATGCATAATTGCTTGTAATCGTCCGTCACTTCTTAGATGAACAGCAAGGTTTCAACGCGGTCAAAACACTTGTCCACATCTACCCATTGATCAATTCACGCGATGCGACCATCAAGTAAATCCAGGTCATCATGCCTTCGTTACCTACTGTATCACATTTCCAACCCAAATGTCTTAATTCCTTCTCTAGTGTGCATATTGTCCGAACAACTTGCACATCTTCGAGCATGACAAGACATTGTGAAGACATCAACCTTGCCATGCCAATTTTCTCGGTCAAGGTCCTCAAAACCTTTCCCACCAAAAGAAGTCAGCATCCTTGTCGATACCCATAAAATGCCTCTATATTTTTCCGAACACATGTTAAAAATTTATGTAGCTTCCTTGACATCACCTCCGTTTGTTGCCCGAATGTTGGGCGATTAGTACGACTTGTTTCACAGCATCCTCGCTCAAATTTCCAATGGAGCACACGACATTTCCCAGAGTTTTGGAGCACTCCACGTCCCGAATTTTCACAATTTCTAAATCATTCCATGTCCTACTTGTTACCCACAGTTTGCCACTAGGTTCGGGGCATTTTCCACCGAATTCTTGTAACTCAAGTACAAAGCCTGCAATTGATCACTCTGCAATCATCTGCAGTGGATCACCCGAATTGAGATCAATTCCTCGGCACCTTCGTCCTGTTGTTCCTGCATCATCATTGTCGCAAGTTTTTCACGTTATGGGGAGTCTCTAACACAATGAGGTCCCATGTAAATGAAGCATCTATCAAAATTTTTTGTTTGCCTTGAAATGTTTCAAACATCTCTCGATTTCGAAGGTTGTTCCTCATGTTTTCCAGTAGCTTTCTACCCATTTTTATGCCGGTCACCCTTCCCATTTCTTTCTATATTTAACTTCTTTGACAAATTATCACTGCCCAACCTTAGTTCGACAAAAGCATTAGCCGCAGCAATGCCCATATGTAGATCCTTCATCCCTATTTGCAGAGTTCGGTCTGCACCCAAATTTGTAGTCTTGCCATGAAGTTAAGGAGTTTGTACTCATCGGACATGTTCTTGAAGTCCAACATCAAAAAAGAGAATTCTTTCACTTACCTCTGTATCGTGTCGATCTGCCTCAAGTTTTGCAAAGCTTCCCCATGCAATTCATGTTGTATTATAGGGAAGGAACTAATCCTTCATTTCTTTCTGTAGCCCATCCCAAGTCAAAAATTTTTGGCCTATCCACATCTCATCTTTCTGCAACCAAGTTCTCCACCATAATTTTACATCTCCGGACATATACATGCTCGCGATGTTCTTCCTCTGGAACATGTGCAACCTTGAAATACTGTAACATATCTCAAAGAAAGTTTTCTAATTCCTTAGCATTCTAGGTACCTTCAAACAGTTTGGTTCAGGCACCTTAATCTTCGAGCTTGCCACAGAATCTTTAAGACCATTAGTTGCCCGTATCAGCAATCCCAGGCGCACAGTAACATTTTCAATCAGGCTCGTGACATCTCCCAGCATGGACGCTAATTTTTTATTCGTCACAACAATTTCGAAATTATTTTGCCAGATTTTGACTCATTTCCTCTGCTTGCGCTGCCAAACTGGCATCATCATCTAACATCGGGGCACCTAATAAACCCTTAAGCATTTTAACTCGATCTTTCAGATTTTGACTTCTAGCCATCTCACAGCTTTCTCAGCAACTTGATAAAATGTACCTAGTTCGTTTTCGTTGAACAGAATCGAGCTCTGATACTGGTTGTCACAGGGCTAACGGCGTAACCTACAATAACGCAGAGGTTTTTTTTTTTTTTTTTTTTTTTCCTTCCCTAACCAGCCAATACACGTTTTGTACTAGTGCAGAAATGAAAAATCACGAAAAAATTGACCAAGTATGCAGAAGATTGAAATTACTAAAGGCAATACAGAAATTACGAGAACCATCCCAACTTTATTTCTGTCTAAAACAAAGAAACACGTTTACAAGAAATTAAAAGGGCCAACACACACTTGTTGTCTCATTGGACTCTTCGAAAATCTACCTTTCTCTTAAACAAACTAAGTATTCAACACTTCAACTCATAGAGAAACAAACATTTTTTGGATTGCAGTTGATAGCTCCGAACTGCTGGATCAATGTTTCACATTTTCAACCCACTTGATTGAAAACTATCCTCCCACTCAAACACATGTATAACTGCTTGTAACCCGTCACATGCTACTTTTATGCTTGCAACCAATGAATTCATGGACCGAAGTCAGCTAGATAGCAAGGTCTCAATACGGCCAAACACTTGCTGGCATCAACCCATCGATTAAATGCCAAATCTGACTAGTCCCAAATTTTGTCATGCGATGTGCCATCAAGTGAATTCAACATCGTCATGCCTCCGTTACTCACTTTGCATTCTCAACTTAAATGCCTCGCTTAATTCCTTTAGGAATGTGCATATTGTTCGAACATCCCGCACGCGTTCGGCCTCGACAAGAAATGTCAAGACATCATCCGTGCCATACCAATTTTCTCGATCAAGGTCCTTACAGAAAGCCATTTGGATACCATGATATTGCTAAACTTATGTCTATTCTCTTCATTTCCTATTTATGGAAAAACGTGAGGTACAAAAAAAAGTTTGCAAAAGAAATTCACAACATATTTCACATTGCATATAATTGTTTTGAAAATAGATAGTCATCTTTACCAACTTATTAACTGAGTACAAATATAAATACAATTTATCTAAACATACATGACTAAATGAAATAAGTAAAGACCTTATTTCTGC